AAGGGCTGGAGCTGTGCCAGGGGGGTTGGGATGGATCTCAGGGAAAGGTTCTTCCCCCAGAGGGTGCTGGGGCACTGCCCAGGCTCCCCAGGGCAGTGGGCACGGCCCCAAGGCTGCCAGAGCTCCAGGAGCGTTTGGACAACGCTCTGAGGGACAGGGTGGGATTGTTGGGGTGTCTGTGCAGGGCCAGGAGTTGGACTGGATGATCCTTGTGGGTCCCTTCCAGCTCAGAATATTTATGGTTCTGTGATTTATTTCCTGGGTTGTGTGGGAGGAGCACTGAGGTTGTGTGTGATCTCTAAGAATTTGTTTCCCACTTACTGTCAGTTTGAACCTTTGTTCAAAATTCTTCATTTCCTGCCCCAAACTATCAATGTGTTGCTCTGAAAATCAGTTACTTGACCCCCTTTGCCTGCCTGGGGGGTACAATTTTTTTCTTGTTTAAGGTGCTGGAAAATTGGGTTTAAATTGCTGGAGGGCAGGTTAGATGGGATATTGGGAAGGAATTCTTGGCTGTGAGGGTGGGGAGGCCCTGGCCCAGGTTGCCCAGAGCAGCTGTGGCTGCCCCATCCCTGGAAGTGTCCAAGGCCAGGTTGGATCAAAGGAGCAACCTGGGCTGGTGGAAGGTGTCCCTGCCCATGGCAGGGGGTGGGACTGGATGGGCTTTAAGGTCCCTCCCATCCCAAACCATCTTATGGTTCTATGAAAAATAACCACTCCAGAAATGGGGTTCTACTTCTTATTGTGAAAGAAATGCAGCAGTAAAGTCCCCTGAATGTACCCTGATCTTGGCAAAGAGCAATAGTTCTGTCATAGCTTTTACCTGAAGTTTGTTGTGGGTTTTTTGGATGCTTTTAAGCTCCTTTAATAACACACAGCTGTCTGAGCTGGTTTGTGTACTCTGGTCATCTGCTAAGACGTGATGACGAGCAAGGCAGATTGGGAGGGTAAATGTACAACAGAAGGTTTGCAATAAGTGCTTCAATCTCTTTATTTTCCCACTAGAATTGAGAGGAAAATTGCAACAATATCATTGGAAAGCAAATCTCCACAGAAGACTGTTGAAAATGGTACGTGTGGGGAATGTTACTGGTTTGTGGTGATGGTGGGACTGGGGGGTGGGTGTCTGCCCCTGACTGAAGCTGTCAGGCAGCAGCAGGTTTCTCTTTGCTGCTGGGCAGACTGAAGTTCTTAATTAGAATTGAGACAGGTGGCCAGTAATTACAGATTTTGGGTCACTTTCTGTAGTCACAGGTCTCCAAAGATCTGACCATTGTTTTCACTGATTCAGGGTTTGGGGAGGGGTCTGCAGGACAAAGACTGAGGGAAAAGTAGATCAGTGTTCTCAGACTTTGTCAGAGCTTTAAAGGAAAGGCTGAGAGCTCTTAGCTGACTTCATAAATATTTCTGCCTTTGGATCAGACTTATAAAATGTGGGTGTTGAAAGATAAAAAATGTGGGTGTTTCCCAGGGAAAGGGAGAGAGGCTGAGGGAGCTGGGGGGGCTCAGCCTGGAGGAAAGGAGGCTCAGGGGGGACCTTCTGGCTCTGCAACTCCCTGACAGGAGGGGGGAGCTGGAGGGGAGGTCAGGCTCTGCTCCCAGGGAACAAGAGACAGGATGAGAGGGAATAGCCCCAAGTTGTGCCAGGGGGGATTTAGATTGGATATTAGGGAATATTTCTCCATGGAAAAGGTGGTCAGGCACTGGCACAGGCTGCCCAGGGCAGTGGTGGAGTCCCCATCCCTGGGAGTGTTCAAAAAACATGTGGATGTGGCCCTTGGGGACAGGGGTTAGTGGTGACCACGGTGGTGGTGCTGTGCTGGTGGTTGGACTCGATGATCTTAAAGGTCTTTCCAACCTCAGCGATTCCATGGGTGTGTTAAACCCTGTTCTCAATGAAAGTGGAGAATTGAATGCCTTCAATTCAGTGACTGTTGGTTTTTGACCTCCCCAAATCTTCTCCCCACCCAGGTGGCAGCTTGAACGGGCGGAAACAAGCCCAGGGCGCCGAGAACATGAACAGCAGCAAATGGAAATCCACCTTCTCCCCGATCTCTGACATCAACCTGACCAAAACCGCCGACAGCCCCTTGCAGTCGGGCTCGGCCCTGAGCCAGAGCTCCCTGTTCGCCTTCCGGCCGCCCCCCGAGGAGAGCCTGGCCCTGGACGGCGCCAAGGCCGCGGCACACGCCAGGAAGGGCATGGCCGTGCCCCCGGACGGGCTCAGCCCCGGCACCAACCCCTCCAACGGCTTCGCCTACAACGGGGGCCTCTCTGCCGAGCTGGGCCTGCACAACTTCATGGACGGTGCTTCCCTCCCACACAAGGCTCCGGACGGGGCCGCTCCCAACTGCTCCCTGGGATTCCCGTCCCAGCGGGGCAAGGACGTGGGATCCGCGTCGGACACGAACCTGTTCCTGAACAAGAGGCAGCTGGAAGGGCTGGGCAGCTCCAAGGGGGAAGAGCTGAGTCGCTCTGGGGCCAAGGGCAAAGAGCTCGGCGAGCTGGGCGGCCGCGCGGGGGGTTCCTCGGAGAAGAGCTCCCTGCAGCACAACGGGAAGGTCGGCAAGGGAAGGGACCGAGAGGTGGAGTTTAAAAACGGCCACAACCTTTTCATTTCTGCTGCTGTTTCGTCTGGTGGCCTTCTGAATGGTAAAAGCCTTTCTACTGCTGTTTCTTCAGCAGGCAACCCAGCATCTTCTGTTCCGACACACCACCCCTTCCTCAACACTCTGACCACTGGATCGCAGTTCCCCCTCGGCCCCATGGCCTTGCAAGCAAACCTCAACTCGGTGACAAACTCCTCAGTATTGCAGTCCTTATTTAATTCCATGCCAGCTGCTGCCAGTCTGGTCCACGTGTCATCAGCTGCAACCAGACTGACTAACTCTCACACTATGGGGAACTTCTCTCCTGGGGTTACAGGTGGAACAGTTGGAGGTAGGCAGAACTCTTTCTCTGGTATAAGGCAGGGCCTAAAGGAAAGTCTGACGCTGCCTCTCCAGGGGTGAAACCCTTTCATTTCTACAGGATGTGAAGCAGATGTGTCCCACATAAGCAGTCTCCTCTCTCTCTCTCTCGGAATTGCTAGGATGAGTTCAGTTCCCCACAGTGAAATCTCGTGAGCTTTGTCTGCTAGATGAGCTTGTTGTATCACCCCAATGAAACAATGCACCCAGACTTTGTGATTGCTAATGTTTGCTTGTTCAGATGTGTCTGTGTTGGAACCAACTTAGGTCTGACTGCAGGTAACAGATTTCACTGGTCGTGGTACCGAGTTCAGGATCTCTAACTTGTGAACTTGAGTGAAGGTTGGGATTAGGCCTGGAATGGATTTAGCGTGATCCAGGAGGAGCAGAACATCAGAGGAGATGGTGTTGGGAGTTTCATAGCAGTTCTGGCTCTTGAATGGACACGAAGAGCATTTCTTGGCCAGGAAGGGCAATGCCATATGCACCTTGCACTTCTGGGATTCTGCACAGGCTTGGCTTCTGTGGCCCACACCGGGGACAAGCTGGCAGGACTAGAAGATAGGCTGGACCTGCCATTTCTCAGTGTGCAGGGCGGTTTTTCTTACCTGTCCATAATCCCTCAGGCACCATGTCGGGAAATCCTAACTCTGCCATCTCTCAGCACGTAGATTTGCTGCAGTTCCAGCTCCCCTCTGCTGCCCTGTAAGCGGGGGAGCAGGAGGGTGGGGAGGGAAGAGCAGCACTTTGAGTCTCCAGATAAACCAACTCTAAAGACCACGTAATCTCATCCCAACCCTGCCTCTGTGCTATAGAACTGACAGTTCTTGGGGCTGACCATTTCCCCTCGTGGCATTTAGAGGTTGGCAGTAGGAAAGGTAAGTGGACTCTTTTGTACCTCCCGGCCTGCACCATTATCTCCCATTGCTTGCTGCCTTCTCACGCTGCATATTTTTGTATGGGGCTGGACTATTATAATTTTGCTTTTTTTTTTTTTTTAAATTTTATTTTGCTTCTTTGTTTTGTTTCTCTTGTCACTTTGAGACTGTACCAAAGCCCGTCTGTTGAAGCTGAGTTTTTCTCTCCTGTTTGCAGGTATTTTTAACCACGCGGTGCCTTCTGCCTCCTCCTCTCATCAGTTTGGAGCCAGTTTCAGCAGCAGTGCTGTCTCTAGCAGCACAGTGCTAAGCTTAAACCCTCTGCAGGCTGTTGCCAGCACCTCATCCTCATCCTTCCCGCCCTCTGCCTCTAATTTAGTAACATCTAGCGAGACTAGAGCCGCTCAGCCCCTCAGCAGGGCGCCCGTGCAGCCCGTTTTCCACCCCCCTCCTAACGTTTCCTTGCCTCCCCCCCCTCCTTTGCTCGCTTCTAACCCCGAGCCCGCGCTCCTGCAGAACCTGCCATCCCTCCCGGCCGGAGAAACATTCCTGCCCTCCTCCTCATCCTCATCCTCCTCCTCCTCCTCCTCCTGTGCCGCTTCTGTCCAGTCTAACGCTTCTTTGTCTCTCAAACTCGCCTCCCTCCAGCACAAACCCTCCCGCCCCTCCTTCACCGTGCACCACCCGGCCGTGCCGCAGCCCGGCGCTGCCATGTGGGTCACCCTGGGCGTGCAGCCCCCGCTGGCCTCGCACCTCCCGGGGGTGAAGCCGCGCTAAAGGGCCCGGCTCGAGCTGCGGGGCTGCGCTGCAAGGTAAGGCCGGGCACCGACCCACAGGGCTGAGTGAGAGTGAGAGCTGAGGGCAAGGAGGGCTCAGCTCTGCAGTGACACGGCAGGGTGGGAGGGGTGGGGTGGAGAGACCTCTCACGTGGGAGAGAACCCTCTAAAACAGGGGGGACATCCTCTGAAGTGGGGCAAGAGTCCACTAAATTGAGGGAAGAATCCCCTAAAAGGAGAGAAGAATCCTCTAAAAGGAGGGAAGAGTCCTCTAAAAAGAGGGAAGAATCCTCTAAAATGAGGGAAGAATCCCGTAAAAGGAGGGAAGAATCCCCTAAAAGGAGGGAAGAATCCCCTAAAA